CCGTAGAGCGTAATTGGCGCGTTTTGCGTAGAGCGTTTTGATTCTACGTAATGCGTCGTAGCCACGTGGAATTTATCGTAAAGCGTAATGACGAGGCTTCCTGAAAACTTTCGTAGCCGGCTCTGAAAATTTAGCTAGCGTAGAGCGTTATCCAAGACCCCACTGTAAAACAGTGGTTATAAAGATGGGAAAAATAACATTGATGGCTAAAAAGTCTGTAGTATGCTTTTGCATTTTACGGAGGGGAATTCGGCTAGTGTTCTGGAGGTCCTATTCGGCTATGTGTGGCGGGGGGTTTATACAGTATTTCCTTTGTAGAACGTTGGCATTTCGATCTATCGGCCCAGCCCATGGCCATCAGGACACGCCAAGTTTTACTGGTGTGTGTTTTGTAGCTGGAAACCCTCTACATAAAATATCTCCAGACTATTGCATGTACCTCACAGTGGGTGGTCGCGGGCGTGAACCACACAAAATCGTCTATGATTACTTAGGGTACATTTAGAAGAAGAAGCATAAAGAGAAAGACTATCCATAAGTGTTTTCAGCATGTAGATTGAATGTCATGTCTAATTTTATGTGTTGTATCCAGGGTTATGGAGAGTCCACGCGAATCCAGAACCGTCCTAACCCTAACCCATTCAGTCATAGAACTGGATAGGCACATGCAGTTAAATGACTAGAATATTGATGGAAAAAAATCTGGTTTCCAAGCCCTGAAAACTGCATTGGTACCTTTGAAGTCTAGGATAAGCGTAGTCCTGTATATTGGCTCGATATCACGTCTACAGATTTTGGCCCCATGCCTTGTCGCTCAGGGGAGACAAACTAAAACATGCTGACGACGCAAATGGGAACTTAGCTGACTGCTCTACTTATCCTGTTTCTCTAAGTGATCTTGCGCGTCATCCGTGTGTGGACGGTGTTGAGGAGCCAAATCCTTGAGCTGCCACATATGTGAGAGGTCAGGCGTTTAGGGTTAGGGTTAGAGTTAAGGTTAGAGTTGGGATCATTGTTCAGGGCTAGGGTTAGACTTACGATTGGGGTTAGGTTAGGTTTAGTCTCACACATCACGACTAAACCCCTCCCATCCCTTGTCTCAGGTATATTGGAAACCCTCAAGTAGTGTCATGTATTTTTTTATTCAGAAACACAGTGATAAGTACAAATAAAAGGACAGGGATGTCTTCGAACTCAAGTTAGGCACAAGTTATATTCTCGCAGCCACTTTAACAATGGAAAAAAGTATGTCATATATTTGGCAGGATCATGTATATGGCCTGACACTGGCTTTGGCTGCTTGCCTGGCAGTTTGATATATACATGTATAGTGTATCATCAAACCGTCTGGCTAATGGACAAGGCCAGATTACAAGGGAATTAGAGATCAGTCCTGGTTTCACTCATCGGAAAAGTTACATAACCAACTGATTATGCCTTACCCTTGTCATACATGAGCCGAATATGGCCTGGGAGGTTGGGAGTAGGTCGGGAGTAGGTCGGCTGTGAGTCGGCAGGGGTTCGCTCAGGTCGGCTACTGTTTGGTTGCACATCAGCCAACCTTGGTCGGTTGGTGTTCGGGAGGAGTTACTCCTTTGCAGGCTGTATGAATAGTAGAAATCGGCCTAAAAAGAATATAGGGGATTCGGCCGGCCATAGACGGTCCAGTTTACCTGCAGGCATGTCTGCCTGGTTTTAAAAAAAAGTAGTTTTATTTTTGGTATTGTTTGATTTGCGTTCTTTGTTGCCTTAATTTCTTCTTAATATACCTTGTATGTTTGCATGAGTCTGGTGGAGACAAGGAAGGACTGAGCGGTTCTGAATGTGTGACAGGGGCTTCAGACTTACCGCTAACAAGTTCCTCTTGTGCCAAGCACCGAGAGAAGGGGTCTTGGCTTCCTACCAAAAGAAAAGGTCAAGAGTGAGCCCGAAGTTTGTTTTCCGTCTTGGCTCTTTGTTCCGTTGGCGGGAAAACCTGCGCGGGAAGTTGTAACATCTGATCGGAACTCACGGCGCGTTCGGACCGAACGTTCGAACACAGACCCGCTACAGTCTTGCAACAATGTGTAGCAAATTTTCCGCAACAATAGCTTAGGTTAATGACACAGAGGTACGTGCGCCGGTGGGTGTTAATGAGAGACGGCCCCACCTAAGCAAGCATTTCTCTTTCCACGACTCCATCTTATGGATGACTTACACGTACATTTGGGTGGACGATCGACAAATAACAAGTAGTCTCAAATATAACCGAGTCGCTGTGCACTTACTCGTAAAACTTCTGTATCTGTATATAGCCGGTATAACTGTCCTTTGGCGTAACACACCACATTTGCAGGCACGCGGCGCAGCGGTAGCTAGATATATTTACACTTGTTAGTCAATATTTCAACATTTAACTGCAGGAGTTGTTTAAAGCTCTCTAGTGATGATGCCCCAATTGTGCTCAGTGGCAACGAGTTCCACTGTAAAATTTGGCTTTGTTACCCCTGGCGGCTTTCTCTGTAACTGCAGTCTTCATCTTCGTGAACAAGCTGCAAGAAAGTCCTCATGACGGCAAGGGGCGAAGCGCGTCGCTAGATTTTGACTTTGAAAATTTCCGCCTGAAGACAGTCAGGTGGACATTTTTTGAAAGCCAAACACTGGCGAATTTCGCGTCTTACTCGAGAGTATGTTTCTCATTAGTTGCCGTGTATATAATGTATTGATAAATAAATGCTGGAGTAGGACCAATTATCGCGAGATTTGTGGCCGTCAGCGCGAGAAATGACGAGAAGTGACAAGTAACATGTGGCCAGCTTTGGTTAGTGGCGATGCCAAAAATACTGAAATGACAAGTTGGGGGGGGGGTGATTTGATGTCACAGAATGATGCTCTCCAGTCTTTGCTCTGAGCACTTGGACGTTTGCCTTAAAGGAACGAAAGGCTAACGATATGACTTCCGGATAATGATAATGATACTGTTTTGTCTTCAAAGTTGCCTTTTGTGTATTGTCCTCCGCCCACTGGCACAGCTAATCGGACGGACACGCACTTGTGATCATGGATCCATAATACTAATCTGAACCCTTTCAATTGTTTTTCCATGCCCGTCACGACCTCCAATGCCAGGACGCAAGCTAAAGTTTGTTGTCCCCAGAAAGGCGACACGCGACAGAAGGGTGACACGACAGAAAGGCGACAAATTGCATTGGGAAAGAAAAAAAAACAAGGCAGCGCGTCAGGGACAGCACCCAAGCTGTAATCTCCATGCAAGCAGTTCCGAGTAGGGTGGCAAAAGACATTATCAAATTGATAAGTTGTCAGTCAGTATCCATTGGCCAGAAAGCGTCTTATACACCACCTTTGGCCAATGGATACTGCCTGGTCAATTTGATACTGTCTTTTGCCACTCAAGGATCTGCTTGGAGATTATCCAATCATTCAATCTTCGCCTTCTCATGATCAGTCTATCATCTTAGCGGCAGTAAAACACTCCCCTTGGCAGCTCTGCGAAGTAGAACAAACGTGCTGACACTGGAGAACAGATTGGACGCGACACGTCCTGTTTTTGGCACAGGCACAAGTTCCAATAATAAGCTATAAATAAGTTCCAAGCGCGACAGTTCCGTAATATTCCCGGCTCTCCGTTGCATTGGAGTTTGCTACATTATACAGAAGAAACTGTGAAGATCTGAGTTCTAGACCTACAAGTAGTGAATTCGAACAGGCTCGTCACTGTTTAGCTGTCCGCAGCTGGTTTAGGACAGATCTGGTGCTGCTGACTCATGTCACACTATGTGTATAGTCTGAGGTACATTATAAAAACGAAATGAGAAAAACAATGGTATAGAAGGGGCAAATGAAGAAAGAAAGAAAGAAAAAAGATTTGAATGTATGGTTTATTCTGTAAAACATTGCAGACATCTAGCTGAAATACTTTTCACTTACATACACGTACATGAAATAACTCACAACTCACTTCAACTGATAACGTAAAACATTACAGTGCTAAAATGAAATGATATAATGACCAAACATCCGAGTGTATGAAACTCTTAGTCTCTTGAATGTTTTGAACGACTAAGACCAATGCGCGGTTGGATGTCGTCCATAAGACAAACCTCATGTTGCCTAAGGTGACGGTAATGTCCGTGAAGCCCGATATAACACTGCTCCGGGGTTTATCAGGTACAGGAGACCTTGACTTGTCACTTGTCAGCGGACCGGAACCACTTCTCACCGCGACCTACTTTTCAAATTCAAGGCAGAGGTCTGGACTTGGTTTGCCTTTGTCTCCCGGCAAGATCAAAGAAGTCTGGCCGCTCGTTGTCCCCTATGTCGCCAAAATTACCTTCTTGTTGCCACAGGTACCTTACTTTAGATGTCATAGTTACCTTTGTGTCACCATAGTTATCGCCAGTTACCGTAGTGTTGCTACATTTAGTTACCTTAATGTTGTCACAGTTTCATTTATCATGTCGCCAAAGTTACCTTAATGTTGCCAAATTTACCTTCGTGTTGCCACAGTTACCTTCATGTTGCTATAATTACCTTCGTGTTGCTATAATTACCTTCGTGTTGCCATAGTTACCTTTAGGTCGCTACAGCTACCTGTATGCTGCCATGTTACCTGTGTGTTTCAAGAATCTTTCAATAGTTACCTTCGACTTCTCAGTCTGGTGGTCATGTTCAGTTTCGTTGCTGCGCATGACTGACGTCAAAGTGAAACCTTTCAACTTGTCAGCAGACTTCTTTCTTAGCGCAGAACCTTTTCGTTGCGTTCTCGGATTTGCGTAGCCTGTGTGCCAGACCCACAGCACACTAGCTCAAAATTATCCTGTGTACACACGGGATAACATTGAGCAAGAGGCCTGGCACCCAGGCTAGGATTTGCGATGCCAGGTGATGTGATCCAAAGGACTCAGGACGGCGGACAGTTAGCCAAGGGACTGTCCGTTATTGCTTCAAGAATCAGGGGTCAAAGGGAGGCTTGTTCTACTCTCCACCAATCAGAACCCGCGACGCGCGCGACTTGGCAAGAGAACACTCGTCTCGTTCCCAGAACGTCCTCTCCTCACTTCTTTCAACCAATCAGACGCCCCGCAGACCCTCTCGTTCCCGGCGTGTCGTCCCCGGCGTGTTTGCCCGTCACTCCCGCCTGTGGACGTACGGAAAGGAGTCGTGTGTTCGCGATGGCGTCCGGAGGAACGCAGCAGCGGAGACTACGGGCCGTCCTGGCGGCCCTGGCGGCGTTGAGCGCCGTGCACGCGGAGAGAACGCCCCGACAGGCCGGTAAGTACCTCCGCAGACACTCCCGCACTCACAAACAACATCTTCTAGCCTCTAACAGGCTTCGGGAGGCGGCTGGAAAGAGTAGAAATAATTCCAAATTATTAGGGAGAGATAACATGTGGCAAACTGTACTTTCTAGCGGACTAACTCCAGTGGCATGCTATCTCTCACTATAATTTAGCCAATTTCTACTCTTCCATCCGCCTCCTGAAGCCTGGTAGAGGCTAAACATCTCCCAGACTGCGGCGTCCTCGCCAAAACCGACAGTCTCCAAGCAGGTGTGTTGAGGAGAGAAAAGTCGTAAATTATAATTTCTTGCTGCCCTGCTTTTCTAACCCTTTGCCAACAGGCTTCGGATGCGGCAAACTGTGTGTTCTCTAAAGCGGACCAACTCCCTCAGCATGTTATTTCTCTATTTGGCCAATTTCTACTCTTTCCAGTCGCCTCCCGAAGCCTGGTAGAGGCTATATCATTCAAACAAAGCCGTCTTGGCGAACCCTCACTACATCTGCTTGGAGATTAAGGCTCAGACGACAATGCTAATCGACTCTTGACGGCTTCCCCCCGCTTGTGTCGCCGCTGTTTGATGCTACCTGTCCCCAGTAGCGCCACCTAAAGCGCGACGTCTGATGCCAGACGACATGTGTTCCCGTGTCTGTCCGTCCTAGCCTCCCCGTAGGTCCTCTCTTTTTAGCTTGTCTCCACCAGACTCCTTTGCAGGCTGACTAAATAGTAGAAATCGGCCTAAAAAGGGGATATAATTGGCCAGAGGAGTTGGCCGGCCTGCGAGTGTCCATTTGCCTGCCTTTTAGGCCGATTCCTGCTATTTATTCAGCCTGCAAAGGAGTCTGGTGGAGACTAGGACCTCACTTCGACTATGGACTAGCGCCTTGTCTCAGGTTTCCCTGTCCAAGACTTCTTGCAGCGAGCTGTGGACTTTTGACCCACTGATGGTGAGGAACAATAGCGACTCTCACAAAAACCGGGTCAAAGTTTGCTCCCGTGTCGACTTGTAGGTCAAGACGTCCCGCGAGTTTCGCCTTTATACCGTCTCACACCGCCTGCTTCTTGAAGTAGTTACCGTGACTGTCTTAGAGCAGACCGTTCGTTCCTTGTAAAGACGCGCTGTAACTCATTACTGTAGTTTAACGTTACGTTGAGAAGTGAGCAATGCTTCACCTTGGAGGAGGAAATTGGGTCGTATGTTGTTGGTCACAGGGTTTGCTTGGACCCACAACAGTGGCTTTGTATTTCAAAACCACCCATCTGTACTCGGACCCTTCCAAGAGTGTTGCTTACTCATTCGCACTTTGAATAAGAACACACGTGCATGGCGAAACAGTAGACACATCTGGAATGCTTGATTGCTTGAAGTAGCGCTAGAGTCTCACTCATGGCCAATATCTTATCACTTCTCACCCCGGGGCGCCCCTAACACAGAGGTGACAGAGATTTTGAGCGATACAACAGTTATGAGAACCTGATCCCCAGCCCTTTGCTACCGTAAAGATAGCCTCAGTTTCTAGGCTTTGAAAAACAAGTAGATTCTGGTTATAATATAAATCAAAAGAGGTACGACATATGTCTCATCAGTCTCGCTATTCCTTGAAGGCCTTGAACTAGTTCAAGTTGATCAAGAAATGTGGAGGGCGAAACAATAGCCAGGGAACGACCGTTTTTGCTGTAGCGTGGGGGACGAAAGCTCTCATACCTTGTTGACAGAGTCTGACAATAGCAAGGGAGTTACCGTTTTTACCGTGGGGTGGAGGACCACAAAGCTATTGTGTCTAGCTGACAGCCGGACTGAACTTGTTTGCTGTCTCCGACTGTGCGGCACTTTACGAGGCATTATGCTAAATCTCGGCCTTTGAAGGGAGAAATATCCATTTTACGCTATCGCGTGTGTGTTGAGGAGGGGGTTAGAGTTAGAATATAAGATATAAAGCTATGTCTTGGTAGCCATTTTAGTTTGGTTGACTTTGGAACAAACAATCCCGTCTTCGCTGCCTTTTCATTTCTGTAGTTTGTCACCAACCAATAAACACCGCTGTTAACGTTAAGTGATATTTTGGTAGCCTCTATCAGGCTCCTGGAGGCGGCTGGAAAGAGAGATAACATGCCAAGGTGCGGCAAACTGTACTCTCTAGCCTTTGCATGCATCTCTCTATTTGGCCAATTTCTACTCCTTCCAGCCGCCTCCCGAAGCCTAGTAGAGGCTATCTACTGTACAGTCTTTACATAAACTGAGACAGAGCAGAGCACAAGCCTGGGCGGATCTCTCTAGATGTTGTTTTGACACGCTGGTTAGTTTGCGTCATGATGATGACGGGAATGTGGAAAGGTCGTCTGTCGGTCGGGCCGTCCGCGGGCTGGTCTACGTCACCGCTCTACAAGACTAGTAGTATTGCTAGCCTGGATGCAAGGCCCACTGGTCCCAAAGAAATATCCTGTGCGGATACTTCCGGCCTAGTCTGCTATGAGTCTGGTATCCAGACTATAAGACTAGCCTAACCAGGGTCTACACAGACCAGCTCCACGGTTGCAGGTCCAATATACTAATTTCTTGGCTGGGCTTCGAACAAAGGGAATTTACACGGGAAAATTATATCTGGCCTTGTCAATCTTGACTCCCGCAGTATTATAATGGAAGTTTATTGTAAATTCATGCCCGAAGGCTAGTTACAAAAAGCAAACATAAAAGAACATTAGGACAGGGTACAAAATCACTTCAAAATCTACATAACACGAGGCAATTGTCTAAAACTATAGCTATGTATAGAACTATGTCTGAAGGGTTTGACTTCTCTTTTGTAAACCATTGAAAGACGTAATGTCCCACCTTTTCATTATAAACACATGTACCAGCATGTACATAAAGTTTACAAGTCTATGTTAATAGGGTGATCATTAGGGCGCCTTAAAGGTTAAAGAGGGGAGGGGAAGGGCCTTCTTGGAACGTCGTAAAATATTCATTAGTGGTGCTGATGGGGGGCACGTTTAGAGTTTATCGAGAAAAAATAAAACCAAATGTTTCAATTCACTTTCCACTCGCACGTAACACAGTATTAATAATATAACACAGACATGAGGAGTTGATGCAAAACGTATTTAAATTTCACGATTATGTATCATTTGATTGATGAATAACCATTAATTTCTGTGCTTGATGCCGATGAAGTTGTAAGTTGCTTAGCAGCGTTGAGGTTATACAAGCAAGCGGTGTGCTTTACATCAAAAAGTTTTATGGGTTAACCTTTCGCAAGGGGAACGCCCACAAAGTTCTGAAAGAAGTCTTGAACTTACTTCCAGTGTTGTTTTATAAAATTAATGTATATAATTAGTCTAATGTCAGGGTCTAAATGTAAAGTTTTATCAAATTAGAGTTAGTCTATCGTGAAATTTTGCCCGACTGCTAATCGTAAGATAAAGAGGATAAACACAATGACAATGTAAGTGCACATGCCTAATCTGATGTCGAAGACTAATCTTCTAATCTTTTAAGCTTGTTTGGTTTAACTTTTTTGCATACCCGGCGCTAGACTAACAGAATATATTCTGCGCATTGTGCTACTCGTTTTGTTCTCCCCGTGAATATGGAGATGTTGTTTTTGGTCTGTCTGTCTGTCTGTTTGTTTGCGTTCCGGCTTTCTACGAAGCTTTAAATTAATCGTGGTGATATTATGTCTGTGGGCATGTCTCATATACCAGGGTTCTCACAAGGATGTTTTTCACAGCGTAGGGGTCAGGTACAGAAGGGCATTCAGCCAAAACATTTTGAAACTCTAACCCCCTGAGACACTATTTCTCGCTTATTTAGGGACAGGTTTTGTGAATTTAAGGTTTTCCCTTTGCTCTAGCTTCATTCTAACGTTATATTTTCATTTTTTTTGCAAGATTTATGAAGGTTCTCCCCAAAACATCCCTATGCTGGTTGAAAGGCAGAATAGGGGTCCAAATCACAGCATAGGGGGTCCAAATCTTCGTGTGGGTATATCTCATATACATTTTTCACCGGCACAAGTCCGCCTGTACATCTGAGATTCGACTCAAGTCCAGACCACCAGCCGTCAAGGGGAACAAGCTGTCAGATCGTTTCCACACTCCCGGCCGTGCATGTGGGGTTAGCTACAGGCTGCCGCTAAAAGGCAGCATGTGTCTCACTGTTCTACCAAATCGTTTTAACGTACATGTGAACAGTCAACACATGTATGTTTCTGTGACTTGGGTAGTGCCACTTTTCTGTAGGCTGAGGAAAATGACAACCGATTGTGTTTTTTTTTTAGACCCTCTGTGACGTAGTTTTATTGGGTACCTTAACGTGACATGATCGTCGTAAAGTGTGCGGTCTTGTTGTTACTGTTAAAACGCACATTTACTCAGGAATCTGCACATCTCAATGTATATTTGATAAACAGCACGGAAACTTGTAGTCTGGATGCCAGACTGTTGTCAGGGCTGTATGTTCCACCAAACACAGATTCGCACTTCCCCTCTACAGATATAGTAAATGATCTTCCCATACATACACGCCAAAGAGCCGGTAGCCATCTAGCATGTACTGATAAACCACTCATATATACCAGTAAACAAAGTATGGACCCGGTCACCTCGAAAAAGCTCATTAGAGCCGCTTGTTTGGTTACGTAATTACTCAACCTCCAAAGCCATAGATCTGGGAGTCCACCGTTCATTGGTTGTGGAGGCTGAAGGCATTTCTGCAAGATATTATCACCCGTTGTCCTTGGCACACACTGGCAGTATTTTGGCCGCCGATGTTTGGAGTCCCAGAACAGTTGAGTCCCAGTGTGAGTGTTTAATTATGTTACGGTGTAACTTGTTATTCCGCAACGCCACATGTCTTTTCTCCAGCGTCCCACGAGAGCGATGCACGTTCCAAGTACTTAACACTGATATCCCGTCCGCGGGCTCAGTTTAATAACAAGGTGAAATTTGTTAGTCCAACTGCTGGACACTTGACTCTAGCCTGGATGACAGACCCA